CAAAGGAGCTTGCAAAAAGAACTGAAGAAGCTTCTCGGATGAGAGGTGAAACGTCTTCAAGCAACTTAAAGAAGTCCAGACGCTTTTCTTTGCAAACTCCTTTGACTAGCACATACCTTAAACACTTCAAGCTGTAAGCTAATTATAGTTATATAAGAGCAGATGCTGCTGGTGCAATAAGCTGTACGTTTTACGTCCAATGGATGATGATCTGATTAGTCGACTAATCGCAAAAATAATTGGTGACTAATCGACTATCAAAATAATAATTTGTGGCAGCCCCACACCACTGTTGCCTCTTTACATTATGCAAATCATTGGGTTTTATTGAAGACAGAACTGTGTGTTAAGTTTTGTGTAAAATTCTTTGGAAGCTCAATAATCACAGTAATTAAGATTTTGATCAGGCATTGGAGTAATATTAATGACAAAACGGTATCAGAACTGCTGTCTCCCTCTGAGGTAAAGGGGAAAATAGATTGTGGCACAGCAACATTACCAACAGTTTAAAAATTAAAAAGTTATTTTCATTTGAGTTTTTGTCACCATATGTAGATACATTTATTGAATGCCTGCCAGTCAAATAAAGACTAAAAACTTTCCAGCTGGAAGTACTGATCAACTGAAGTATAACTTGGATTGTTTCATCAAAACCTGGGGTCACTTTGAAACAATTTGGTTTCCGAATGATGATTCACAAGACAATAAATGGTTGGTACTTACGGTGTGGTCTTGAATGTTTCTTGTATCATGAGCAATCGTCATCCCCTCAGCTGTGGTCTGCTTCATTTTCCTGAGCCTACAGTCAATCAAACAACAGGATGGATGCTATCACAAAAATCAAAACTTTGTTTGTATTTCTATTGATCTTTTCATCTTGCTCTGTGGCAACACATTTTTTAAAAAGTTTTTCTTCCTTAATCTTCTGTAATAGCAAGCTACAAAACATTAATAAATCTTCGTCTGAAGTTTCCTTCTAGTTTATTCTGCTCTCAAAGAAAATTACAAATGCAGTGAGTCACAAAACAGAGACTGCACCTTTTTAGTAAAAACAAAAACCAAAACAAAAAAAACATACACTACTTTTTCTTAAGCCAAAAGAGGATTTTTTTTTTTTTACTGGTGCAGTCTGTCAATTAATCTGGCCCTATGTCTTGATTTTAATCTGTACAAAAACCAAACTCTAAGGTTACTGTTGACTTTTTGTACAAGTAGATGCATGTTATCTTTGAACAGAGCTAGGACAGCTGTTTGCCCTGTTTGCAGCATTTCTGTTTAACGTCTTCGTTAACTGCAAATTCAAAAAAGTAAAAAATAAAAAAAAAATGTGAAAGAATGTTTTCTTTTGTTTTTTTTCTTTTTTTCACCCTGAAGCTCCTGTTCGTTTCCCGCCTGCTTGCTGTGGGATGGTCATGGTAGGTCCGAGGTCTGAGAACTCCTTGCTCACAGCTGTAGCCATGACTCTGACGGTCGTATCGTTGTTGTCCACCAGGTGAATCTCAGTTAATGATCTCAGACCTTGTGGGCTGTCACAGTACTCCCGAACTGCCTGGGCTATGGTCTCAGCACAGAGGTCAACAGGGAAACCAAAGATGCCCGAGCTGATCGCTGGCAGTGCAATGCTGGAGCAGTTGGCCATCTCTGCTTGTCTCAGACTTTCTCTAACTGCAGTCTTCAGGCGTGACACTGCTGTCTTCCTGTCAAAGTCAGAGAATCGTGGACCAACTGCATGGACAACATGTTTGCAAGGCAGGTTGTATGCATCTGTTATGATGGCGTCACCTGGATGTAGACGTCCATTTTTAGCGACGTAGTCGCTGCTTTCTCTCTGCAGCTGTGGTCCTGCAGCCTTTAGCAGTGCCAAAGCCAGGCCACCAATGTGGTCTAAGTCCTCATTAGCTGCATTGACCACAGCGTCCACACCAAAGCTGCAGATGTCCACCTTACTGACAGAAATCAGAACTCCACTGATGGTCTGCACTTTACAATAACAAAGCTTAGTTTCTTCTTCATAATTCTCTTCTTCTCCTTCATCTTCAATCTCTGGACGAAGGAGAATAACACATCTTAACTCATTCATTATTGTAGACAGGAAAATGCTTCCTTGGGTTTGGAAGTATTTCTTTGCTCCGGGCTTGTCCACAGTTAAGGTGTCAGTGAAGAGAGCACTGGCCAGTTCCATAAAGCAGGATTTGGCTTTCTGGACATGAAGACGAGCACCAAGGATGCTGATGCTCTGCTTCTGTACATAAAAATTAACTGACACATTATTATTTTTGGCAATACTGGACCATTCCTCTATTCTTTTCTTTTCAATAAACTGAACAGCAGCACAGGATTGAACACGAAGGGTTTCTTGAACTCGTGAGTAATTCTCAATTCTCAACTCCCTCAGACTATGACTGACCTCTTTCACTGGATCCACAAAACCAGCCACTGTTATTTTATCTCTTCTTTGTGGATGCATCTCAATGGCCACAGTCTTTTTCTTCTTTGATAAGTTGTAGGTGTCCAGCAACTTTTGCTTCAGTTCCATCCAGTTAGGAAGTTTTAGAACTTCCACATCAACAATCTGGTGGGTCAAAGCAGCCATCATCTGACTTTCTGCATCAGCTAGGGCTCTTTCAGAACTCCCCAACAGCAGAAGTCCTTTGTTTTCAATGGTGTAGGTTGCATTGATGCCTTGAGATGTGAACAGATCCTGGGACAAATCGACAGGATCCAATGTTCTGAGAAAGTCTAGAAGACATGGGGGCACATTCTGATGTTTTTTACTCATATTCACATTCCTCTCCAAGATCCATGACTTAGTCTTGAAGACCTCTGCAGTGAGTCCTGTAATGGTTAACTTCTGGGTGCCTTCATCATAAGAGAGTTTCATCTCAGGAGAAATGTCCAGAGCAGCTTTGTGGAGCCCTTCCTGCTTCAGGATGTAGAACCATGCAGGGGACAAAATCATTTCCTCAGAGATGCTGTTTGTCTGTCGTTCAATGTGACTCATGGCTTTAAGAAGAATGTTCTCTACAGGAGCCCTGATTCGTTTTATATCATCAGCTCGGCCAGCAACAGTCAGAACCCCTTTGGATGCATCCAGCACCAAGATGGCATCTTCCTTCACAACTGAATGGACATCTTTTTCTGCAGCTTTCCATCCCAGTGCATTTGCTTGAAATTCAAAAGAGAAGAGTTCACTGAGCAGTTCCATAAAGCAGAATTTGGTTTTTTGGACATGAAGACGAGCTCCTGCAATGCTGATTCTTGGATGCTTTACATCAAAATTTACTGACACATCATTGTCTTTGGCAATACTGGACCATTCCTCTGTCTGTTTCCCTTCAATAAACTTAACAGCAGCACTGGATTGAACATCAATAAATTCTTGAACTCGTGAGTAGTTCTCAATGAACTCCCTCAGACTATGACTGACCTCTTTCACTGGATTAACAAAACCAGCCACTGTTATTTTGCGTCCTCTCTCTGGATGGATCTCAATGGCCACTGTTCTTTTCTTCTTTGATAGGTTGTAGGTGTCCAACAGTTGTTGCTTCAGGTCCATCCAGTTTGGAAGTTTTAAAACTTCCTGATCTTCCACATTCACAATCTGATGAGCCAAAGCAGCCATCATCTTACTTTCTGCATCAGCAAGGATTAAGTCAGAATTTCCCAACAGCAGAAGTCCTTTGTTGTCAATGGTGTAGATTGCATTGATGCCTTGAGATGCGAACAGATCCTGGGACATGTCCATGGGATCCAATGTTCTGAGAAAGTCTAGAAGACATGGGGGGACATTCTGGTATTTTTTACTCAAATTCACATTCCTCTCCAAGATCCACGCCTTAGTCTTGAAGACCTCTGCAGGAAGTCCTGTAATGGTTAACTTCTGGGTGCCTTCATCATAAGAGAGTTTCATCTCAGGAGAAATGTCCAGAGCAGTTTTCTGGAGCCCTTCCTGCTTCAGGACGTAGAAGATTGCGGGGGACAAAATCATTTCCTCAGAGATGCTGTTTGTCTGTCGTTCAATGAGACTCATGGCTTTAAGAAGAATCTTCTCCACAGGAGCCCTGATTCGTTTTATATCATCAGCTCGGCCAGCAACAGTCAGAAACCCTTTGGATGTATCCAGCACCAGGATGGCATCTTCCTTCACAACTGAACGGACATCTTTCTCTGCAGCTGTCCATCCCAGTGCATTTGCTTGACATTCAAATGATGTGTACTGAGACATCAGGCAACGGAAGGCCTCTTGGGCCTTATTCATCCAGTTATTTACATGTTCTGCAGTCAGACCTTGCTGCCTCAAAAACTCAGGCAAAGGGCTGAGTTTAACGTCGGGGCCATTCAAATCCATTCTGCAGAAATGTGGACGCATCTGATCATTGATGTGTTCTGATAGTTTCTTCTCCACAAGGAATTTCCAGATAACGTGGAGAACAGGCTCTGTGAAGGGCTCGGGCATCTTCCATGTTGGTCGTTCTTTGCCATACAAGGCGGTTCCCAGTGACTCATAGTATGGATATACCTTCATAGTTATAGACTTCATCTTGAGGTCTTTTTTTATGCAAATCTCTTCCACAACTGCAGCAAACAAGGAGCAGAAATGCAAAGGTTAGATAAGTCGTTACTCTACAAGGAATTATATACAACTATTTTTGTATTCATTATTCTAGAACGATTTATCTAGGTTACAGTATACACTGTATCACCCATTCCAAACCTTTTCATCTGTCATAATCCACAGAAAAAAAATGATCAATAACTCTAAAAATGTTTTATATTTTAGATTCCTCAAAGTAGCCGCTCTTTGCTTTGTTGACAGCGCTGCAAACCCTCAGCCTTCTCTCAATGAGCTTCATGATGTAGTCATCTGAAATGGTTTTACTTCTCAGGGGTGCCTTGTCAGGGTTCATTTGTGGGATTTCATGACTTCTTAATGGGGTTGGGACCATCAGTTGTGTTGTGCAGAAGTCAGGTTGGTACATAGCTGACAGCCCTATTTGACAACTGTTAGCATCCATATTATGGCAAGAACCAATCAGCTAAGTAAAGAGAAATGACAGCCCATCATTAATTTAAGAACTGAAGGTCAGTCAGTCCAGAAAACTGCTAAAACTTTGAATGTGTCCCCAAGTGCAGTCGCAAAAACCATCAAGCGCTAAGACGAAACTGGCTGACATGAAGAAAGGAAGACCAAGAGTCCCCTCTGCTGCTGAGGATACATTCATCCGAGTCACCAGCCTCAGAAATCACAAGTTAACAGCACCTCAGATCAGAGCCCAGATAAATGCCACGCAGAGTTCCAGTAGCAGACACATCCCTACATGTTCAGAGGAGACTGTGTGAATCAGGCCTTTATGGACAAATAGCTTTTAAGAAACCACAACTAAGGAAAAGAAACAAGAAGAAGAGATTTGTTTGGGCCAAGGAGCACAAGAAATGGACATTAGACGAGTGGAAATCTGTGCTTTGGTCTTATGAGTCCAAATTTGAGATCTTTGGTTCTTTGTATGACGCAGAAAAGGTGAACAGATGGTTTCTACATAAATGGTTCCCGCTGTGAAGCATGGAGGAGGAGGTGTGATGGTGTGGGGGAGCTTTACTGGTGACACTGTTTGGGATTTATTCAAAATTGGAGGCACACTGAACCAGCACGGCTACTACAGCATCCTGCAGCAACATGCCATCCCATTCAGTTTGCGTTTAGTTGGACCATCACTTATTCTTCAACAGGACAATAAACCCAAACTCACCTCCAGGCTGTGTGAGGGCTATTTGACCAAGAAGGAGAGTGATGGAGTGCTGCACCAGATGACCTGGCCTCCACAGTCACCTGAGCTAAACCTAATGGAGATGCTTTGGGATGAGATGGAGCGCAGAGTGAAGGCAAAGGACCAACAAGTACTCAGCATCTCTGGGAACTCCTTCAAGACTGTTGGAAACCATTTCAGGTGAGGACCTCATGAAGCTCATCGAGAGAATGCCAAGAGTGTGCAAAGCAGTAATCAAAGCAAAGGATGGCTATTTTGAAGAATCTAAAATATAAAACGTGTTTTGAGTTATTTCACACTTTTGTGTTCACTACATAGTTCCATATGTGTTCATTCATAGTTTTGATGCCTTCAGTGAGAATCTACAATGTAAATAGACATGAAAATAAAGAAAAAACCATTAAATGTGAAAGTGCATCCAAACTTTTGACTGGTATAAACCTTTAGTGTCGCTGAAGGTGATGATTGCAGCTTTTTCAGCTGGGTTCATTGTGATATTGTCTGGAAGAGTCCAAGTCTTGTCAAAATATAGCTCCAACATGTCTAAAAAAAAATGAAAAATGAAAAATTAGATTAAATATAAAACAAACAATACCAAAAAAGAAAAAATAGCTTTGCTGTTAATCTCAGAATACCATCAGACTTTAAGTTAAATATTTTTTTACGACAATTTTTTTTCAGCATTTTATCAAAAATTTATATTGGAACTTTATTTAAATCAGTTAAAGTTATGTTGCAAAGAAAATTCATATGTGATGGGATTATTCATACAGTGTTGTAAAAAGGTATTTGTCCCCTTCCTGATTGCTTTTTTTTTGTAAATTTGTCACATTTAAATGTTTCAGATCATCAAACAAATTTAAATATTAGATAAAGAAGTAAAGGCAAAATGCAGTTTCTAAATGAAGGTGTTTATTACTAAGAGGGCAGTCTCTTTTTCACACAGGGCTATGTAAGTTTGGATTTTCTTCCACCAGCCGAAAAAGGGGCATGGGTCCACTCAGCTTTAGGGGTCAGGTGAGGTGTTTGGTGGACGGCCGCCAGGGGCGGAGACACTGGCAGACCAATACGCAGCAATTGGAACATGGAATGCCAAGAGTAGGCAAGACACAGATGCAGTAGGTAAGCGATGGAATTGACAGAAAAGGTAAGTAACAGAGAATGGTGTCACACACCGGAGACTTGGTGGAAAAAAAAAAAAAAAAATCCTAGCTCAAAATTAAACAAATATTTTTTAAGCTTCAGTTATATCAAACAATTCATCATCATCATCGTTTATTTGTATAGCACTTTAAGAACACACCAGGCAGACCAAAGTGCTGAACAACACAGATCAAAACAACAACCAAATTAAAAACAATTGACAAATGACTAATCATATCTGGTTCATATCCAACCATATCTGCTTAATCGTCTCCAGCACTCTGGAGGACATCAGGGTGAATTTGGATGCTTGAAGGCCCAGAGCGCATCTTTCCAACCAAGAATCAGATGCCATCCTCTAAAAGAAGTCGCCCAGCACACTTCCCCGGTACAATATCGCCGTCTGGCAAAGACTTTTCAGACATCCAGCTACAATGGAAGGTTGTTCCTGGTGGAGATTTTACACCGGGAAATTAAATCCCTGAGGGAATCTCTGGAATTCAGCCAGCAGCTGTCACTGTGTGCAGGCAGGAGACGAGGACTCAAACGCAGGACTCGTAGAGACAAACGTGAAGTCAAAACTGCTTTAATGCTGAACTCTAAAGTAACAAAACTAAAGATTAAAAAATAAACTTTCGCAGGCAGGCAGACAGAACACACAGCGCAAGATGAGGGTGGACCAACGTTAACGACAAGATAACAAGTACTGACTGTCAAGGCACTAAAATACACAGGCAGCAACATGACGAAATGAGGAACAGGTGGAAATGCAGCTGGAACTACTTGGGCAGGACGAGGCAAGGTAAGTAAAACAGAATACACTAACATGAGACAAAGACCTTCAAAGTAAAACAGGAAATACAGGCTGGGCTCAGAGACACGTACAGACAAAGAACAGAGGGAACACACGGGCAGGGAGACTAGACACTAAACCGTGGAAGAACAGAACCCAAAACCATATGGCGTTATTTTTGTGCCACTATTCTGAGCGCATGTAAAAAATTTGAGTGCACGCAAAAAAGATTCGTTCCAGCGAATAGGTTTATGCTATGAACCTATCATATTTCTTGAAGTAAAATGTTCTGTTCTTATTTAAACAGCTGACTCTGAATTAAATCTAACATTAAAAAAATAATAATAAATTCAGGAGGAAACATTTTCATAATAACGGGTGAAATTCAAAATATACTGACAGCTCTCCAAGTAAGACTTCCGTATTAAATAAAACGGTCCAGTTATGAAGCTGAACTTTAATCTCAGCCAAACCGATTTACTCAGGAACAAATCAAACACTGAAATAAACCAAACATTAACATTTAGAAGTTATCTAAGTGACTTATATATCATGTTTAACCCAAGTAGCAAAAGACCGTGGGGGGTTTGAAAACGATGTGCCGGGAGTCCGCGCCTTGACCACCGATCAGCCAGGGCTGGACTGGGACAAAAAAAATCGGCCGACTATACCACCAGGTGTTACAGGAAAAACCATAAAGCCTTTGAACTAAAACAAACCCTGTTGTGACAGTGGTGTACACTGTCTTGTTGGTATATATGTATGATGTGTATACAGTGTATCGTCTTCATGTTTCCCTCTCACCACATATCCAAACCGACATCATGACCAGCAGCTTTACAGCTGTGGCTCCAGCAAACATCAGCTGATACTAGAAATTAATATCAAATAAATTCTAACAACAGCTGATCAAGCTGTCGCAAAGTGGGCGATAAACAAACAAGAGAGAAAAGCCGATCATTGATCATTGATCAGTTTCATGATTGAAGTAGCAACAGGAGAGGGAGGAGAGAATGAGAGGAGAAGAGGCAGCTGTGCAGCGTAAAGACACAGAATAACTCCACCTTTGTGTCTTTTTCATTGTAGCTGAAGTACGGGACAAATCGCGTTCCTTTTCCCCTCAATACGGATGCATTGTAATTGGTCCAGCCCAGAGTTGATCGTGACCAATCGGCTAATCCACCACATTTCATTGTTTATACCGTTACAAAAACAAACAAACATAAAAATGAAAAATCACCATCAGCCCACTGGGCAAATACCCGATATGCCCAATGGCCAGTCCGGTCAGCTGGTGGGTAACAGGCATCTCCAAAACATTAGAGCACTTATGCAAATATGTGATGTCTTGATAAACCAAGCAGATATTTGAAGTTTACACGGCACCATTCTCACCTGAAAATATCTTAAAAGTTTACTTTGTGATCCAGAAAGAGTAATATTTTAAACTGCGCCACGCTGTTCCTCTGCAACTGCGTTGTTTGAGTTTTTAACCCATTTTATTGGATTCTTTTTTTCTAAAGTTGCCCCAAAACACACAAAACAGCTGTATGCTCTTGTACAGTTGCTATTAGACCCATATCTGTTGTGACTGATGTAATAAAATAATCTACAAATAAAGAAATTCTATTTAAATTCGGAGCATACGGAAATAAACTTAATTAAAAATTCTGACTATTGATGCAGGGATATATGCAAATCTTGGGGCTTTTGTAGAATGTTTAGCTGATTTTAGAGTTTAGAAATGTGTTAAAATATAATGTAGAACTATTGTAGAGACACTGCCCTTAAAGTAATAAAGGCTGACTGTGTCGTGAACTTAGGAGTAGAGTGTAGGAGACCTCCCCCACTGAGTGGAAATTCCCCAGAGGATG